AAATAATAAAGCTATTTCTTACAAAATCAGAGACTAAACAAATTTAAAGGTTTCCTTAGAATGAATGATTAATTAATATTAAATACTTAACAAGTATTTATTTAAAGAAAAACAAAACGGGAGAAAATGTATTTAGACAAAATATTAAGACTATTATTAGGTGCATATGAACAATATTAGTGTATCAAACAATAATGTCATACCAGCGGTATGTCAGAAGTTTTTCAAGTGTTTACAAGTTTATTTTGACGAGGAACTAATCAAATATATGATAAGAGGTATTGGATTTTGACGCAAAATTCATTCATTCATTTGGCTAAATAGCGTTTTGGCATTTTAGCTGGTAACGGTTCGCGATGAAAACCATAAATCTAATTCCTAACCCTAACCATCAACTGTAAATCATAATTCTAATTCTTTACACTGGTATATAACCCTCATTTAGCCCTAGTAAGTAGATAGGCATTCTCAAGGTCACCCATAAATTATAGTCTTTTTTCTCTAGGTCCAACTGTTTTAGTGATTAAAGCACCTACCTTCCAACAAGGTTCCAAACTTTTTCCACATTTTCATATGATATAGTTTCAGTAGGTGAGATTACTCATTTAAATGTCACATCATAGATTATGATGGAATATGACAGTTTACATATTAAAACGTATTAATCAACATACTTTCAAAATGAAACAAAACGGAATAACTAATCTACTTAAATTCAATTGCGCAAAATAGACCCGATAATTAACATGAATATACGACAGGAAGTCAAATGTAACCAGTTTCCAACATTAATTTATATGCTTTTTTGTCTACGTAGGTCATCATATATATATAATTTGAGCCCAAGGGAATGTCTGAGCTAATTAAAATCCTACGGTCATAAGTTAGAAGATTCACTAGATATTATATAGAAACAGGAATAAGTCTTACGATTAAATTTACTGGAAACATTCAGTATAACTATTTAAAATGATAGAATTGGCTTACATTTCGTTTTAGTAGAAAAAACATTTCAACAGGTAATCTAAAACAGCATTTATATGTGTGTAAGAGAAAGAGAAAATTAGAAAGTTAAATCAACTGATGAAAATAAATTAGGTAATATGAACTCAATAAATTCAACCATATATATTCACACAATCTCATAGAGTAATTAAACTTTACTAGTTCAAAACCACTGTATTCAATGTTACAAATATAGAATAGATCACTAGACGTGGTTGTTTTATTTTATGTATCAAAAGTAAAAACAAAAAACTCAATCTGTGTAATACATAGTCATAATATGATCATTCTAGACACTTTATTACCATTACTATTAATTATAGTAAAATATTAATAAAAAAAACATTTGTGTATTTATGGACACTTTTTCTTCATTTTTGTTGTTGTTGGTAATAATACATAAAAGTAGGGCCCATAAAACAAAGTTATAAAACATAATTGAAGGTTGAATAAAATATATATACCTCTTTGAACAACTGTTACATATATATGCAGAGAGATATGCACACACGCACACACCCACACACATACATACAAAAATAATCTAGCCAAATTACAAGTGAGAAAGAGAGTAAAAAGTAATTTGTAGAGAAAATTATAAATAAAAGAAAATATAAAACAATTTTGAAGAGGAAAAAAGAAACTTTTCAAATGTACACAAACATAAAGAATAAAATTTAAATGAAGAGTGAAGTGTAATATTTAGTCTTTTTTTTTTAATAATAAGTAAAAGAAAAACTAGAAAAACAAAAATTGTAAATTGAAGTAGATTGTAGTGAAAAGTAATTTAGAAGTTGTTGTTGTTTTTTTTGGTGGGATATTCAAACTTTCAATAGTATTATACACAATGAATGAATTGAATCGGCTATTTATTCAATATTAATGATACAGTGAAATTAGCAAATATAGATAATCAAATAAGTTTTGATGAATGTTTTATTTTACTAGTTATGAGTCCATGAACTAGAGATCCTATGATTGATGAAAAAGATATGTTTGCAAGTTGAAGGAATTCAAGCTTCCTGAGAAGGGAAAACCTAGAGTCGGCAGTTAAGTGATAAAGTTAGATATATATGACTGGATCATGTACAGTAGTCAGATATTGAATGGTGTTAAGTTTTCCGGTGACTGATTTTGATCAAACAATTTAGTTAAGTTTACGATATGATCAGAAAACTAATTGGTAATACCCCCTTAAATGCTCTCACATATCTATGTGCATAGCGTCCCCGCCAGGAACGTCCTATCCACATACTTAACACACATTGGGTGTTGTTTACGAAACTGAGAGGACGAAAAGCGGATGTCCGGCGCTTTAGATAGTTGGTGTGTACGGAGGATCTACGTAGGGGAGTTGGAGAACTCTGATCCCAAACCAATGGTGCACATGGGCTCCGGGATCCTGAGAGAACAAATGACGTGTAAATCTATTGTTGGCCACCGGCTACCATGGGACTGGATCTCCTAACGTTGCTCTACTGACTTGTGAATCAGAACTTTGGGTAAGGGCTTTGGGATTGACACCTTAAGAAGACCACCTACTTCTGTTAAGGCGTCCGGGCAGCATTCTGGCCTTCACACAAATCGAGTGATTTGTGTGGCACATATATATTTGTTGCCTCCTTGTACCAATGTTAATGTGTTTAAAAAAATAAATAAATTGGTAAAATACATTTGTGAAGTCAATATCAGTTAATATTGATGGATACATGCATAGATACTATAAAAGTGATCGTCTTCTAAAAACATCTGACGGCAGTTACAAAAAAACTTTTATTTCCTAATTATGCCATCGGGCATAAACCTGCTTCCTGTGTAGATTATCTCAACACAGTAGATTAGTTGAACAATGTGTTGACGTTCCAAGTGATGGATATTAGATTCAAGCCTGAATATGAACAACATTAACTTACAGGAAAAACTAGCTGATAAGTTTCAAATAAAACGGTAATAGATGTCTAGAATTCCACAAATGTTATGTCGAAAATATACTAAAGCAAGTCAGAATTGAAACATTCTAAATCAGAAATGTATTGACATGGATCTTGTCATGATATAATTCATTTAAAGGTGGGTTTTTTTTAAAGAAAATAGCTTAATTACTCATCAAAGATAAGTAAATGAAAACTTACATTTCTAGGCTCTCACAGAAAGAAACAAAATGGGTAGTCACATTATTGATACACAGAGAGGTAAGGGAGAATAACTACTAAAATGTGAGTATATATATATATATATATATATATATATATATATATATATATATATATATATATATATACCGACATGGACACACCAAAGCATATAAAAATCCCACTTTGTCCCTGGGATATACCGTATGACAAGTATAGTAATATATACAAAGTATAAACAAATCGAAAATTTCTGATAGACTAAGTCTGAAAGAGAATCAATGCAATTGTACAGATCAATAAAAGAAAACCGGACAGGTCTGTACACACATACAGCCAAATATATACATAAATATATACATGAAAATTGTCTGATTAAGTCTGCTGATGTAATAATAATAATATTGAAAATATTCATAACAGTAACAATGCAGAATGGGAGCAAAACTCAGACGAGACAATCTATTGATTTGTTATTCTTAGTATAGGTCATAAAAGACGGGAGATAGGAATGTCAATATATTTTTAAGTAGGATAATTTATAACAAGGCTTGAGAATATCATATACATATAATGATTTGACTTTTATTATTATAAAATGGAACTAGAATAAATAGTAATAGAAAGATTGAATTTAATGGATAATGTTCTAATTAGCGATATTAATACAATGAGGACACATTAATGTATAGGTAATTCACTTAGCAAGGACAGATTCGTGTACTCAACTTTAAGTTAGGCTTAATGTGTGAAGGCTAGTGACACACTACCCGGTTGACCTAAATGAATTAGGTAGGGCAAGAGTTGAACCAGTGAACCACTGATTGAATGTCTAACGCTTTAACTAACACATAAATAACAATTGAATGAGTGGAAAAACAAGTGTTGTTGTGATGGGATTCCAGTTATGTAAACTGGAAAAATCTAATTAATTGGTATATGTTATATGCGGAAATTCCAGTCAGAGATCACAAACACAGCAGAGGCTAAAAAGTTCACTTAGCAAACAAATGTGATTGTGAACTTTTGTTAAGGTGGCTATGAATGCATGAATTTGTATTTTATGCAACACTGTAATTCCATAATGGAATATTATCAACTAGGTCTATAAAACGGTAGAGGTCACCTAATGGTTAAAGTATTCACTTTTCAACGAGATAGCAGCTTCGAACTGCATTATTCCATCTACTTCTAGTTAAGCAGCTCTTTAGTATCGTTAGTTTTCATAAAACAAAAAATGCTACTTGAAGCTGAGCACAACTCGGTCGATAGAATTCGATCAATATTAAAGGACTAGACAGATATAACATTGGTTACCTAATCAATGATCAACTAATTGTAAATACATCTCAGTTCTTCAGTTAGTTGTGGTCAGAATAGTTCATTAATATTTTCTTCGAGTGTAAATTTTTGTGACTCTAGTTCAAATCCCATATGGAGCATCAGGACCTTAAAGATTCCAGGTACATCTTGTTAACGAGTGACATCTAACAGGAAACCTAAATCTAGTGTTTATTCTCGACTACCTTCAACCATTTAGCATCAAAACATAAATTTGTATCTAGTAGGGGAGTTATATTAATTCAAAATGTTAGTAAAATGACAAAAGATTAAATATTGAGTCTAACTGAAATGTACCATTTAATTACAGCTTTTAATTATAAGGCAATGTTATTGAAAATAAAATTGCATACACCAAAATTTATCAAATAATGTTCTTGACTTCATAGAATCCTATGGAAAAATAGCATAACTATGAACACCCGATTTATAATACCTAGAAGTAGAATTTAACATTATCCCCTGATATTTAACAGTTAATTTCTATTTAATAAATAATAATCAGTTTCAAATTGAACCAACCTCTTCAGCTTCCTTAGCACGTCGACGTGCTGCCAAAACACGTTGAAGATCAGTCATCATATCTACACCATGAGTACGTGGGCCAGAAAGAGTTGTTGCAAAATCAGAAGATCCTAGGCCAGCAACAGAAGCAGCACGAATACGTTGTTGTCTGGCCATACGTAATTGAGCATCTAAACTACCAGATTCAGCGACACTATCATGGTCACTAGTATCAGAATTTTCGGCAGCAGACTGTGAACCTGATAGTTTATTACTTATTGCTGTTGTAGTGTTTTGATGCCAATTTTTCGACCCAGGTATATTAGCCACTGATGGGGGTGGAGGAGGCGGGGGAGGTGGTGGTGGCGGCGGCGGCGGTGGTGGGGCGGGAACCAATTGTTGGGATTTGGTATTATTAATTGAAGTGCCTATGGAAAATGAATAAAATTTCTTACTATAAATCAATAAAACTAAAAAGTTGAACATAGATGACAAATGTATCGTAAATGGTATTAAAATATTGAAATACAAACATGAAGATCGTGGTGGGATAGCACCTAATGAGTAATAATATGCATGCAATCACATTCGGTGATGTTGCATACCTTGGTTATGTACAGTAGCCAATAACTACACTTCTAAGTATGTTAAATTCTCAAACAACAAACAAATAGAAAGCCAGCAATGTGATATGAGGAAATTATGATTCTAGGTTAGTTTATGCAAATAAATAGAGGAATAACTATGAGCAGACGGCTCTGAGATTATGAAACATATTTTATTTATGTCTCTATTTGATTGGATCATGGGAGGATGTAGGAGTAGTGAATAAAACGTCTTCAGAAATTTGGTATAAAAGTAGGGAACGGGTTGAATTTGGAAGACACAGTAAATAGTTAAGGTAATTAACTGGTATCCTTTAGCACCATTTACAAACACATCTACTAAATTGATTTCGAACTGTTCACTTAACCCGTTTGCACGCATATGGATAAGGAGGATCCACTTAGAGGAGACGGAAAACCCTGATTCCAAACCAATGGTGCACATGGGCACCTTGGTAGTATCACAACCAACACGCAAATCAAGTGCCTGGAGAGGTGCATATGTACTTGGTGCCCCTTTGTACCAATATCTACCTAAGTAAATTTACACGCATGAATATAACTTTATAAACAAGTAGACCCAGATTCATTTTCCTAGAATTTCTTCACATATTGTGTTTTATCTAGTGGTTAGTTTACAAAAAAATATTATAAACAAAGTCGCGCGTTTTGCGCAAACAAAAACCAGAAAGATAAAATTTAGCATGGGGGATTTGTGGAGATGGTGTTTTCACAGCTGAGATAAAGAACTGATCTTAGCTGGACCACCATTCACAACATGAGAGAACTGCAAGGCTGTTTCGTTCCAGTGTGGGGATTTCTAGTTAACGCTCATCTACGACTTCGCACAAGAGAATCGAACTCAGTATTTTCGGTTTCACGCTCGAGCGCCGAACCTCTAGACAACTGAGCCGGCATTCAACGGTGTTAATGTTTAATTTCAACTAATCCATGATTTTGCACAACCATGGAGTGCGGTAGATAGCTGTCTCATACCCGATATCGATTGAACCATTATAGCTATCTGTTACACTGTAAAAAGTAAACTATCCTCTACAGTAAACTCAATAGTAACATGAAGGACATGTCAATCAACTAACCATTGAACCGAACAGACTTTAGACGTAAGACGTTATTGATCATTACAGTCAGATATGAGCGAAACCTATAACAATAACAATCCACTAACAAATGATCTCATCAACACAGATATCAAAAAGAATACTTAAACATAGAAAGCATATTAGAAACTATTATTTCCGGTATTCATATTTCTGTGTAATGCGAAAACCTATACGGCTTTATGTGAGAACGTGTGTTTATATATTCGTCTATTTAATGAGTTAGTATTAACTTACTATAACGTATTTACCAGGTTTATGTAGTTGGTCCTCAAAAACACTTTAAGTGTCAGAAACAACGATACTATTTGACTGTTCGAACAGAGTAGAATGAGGGTTGAGATCTCCACTAAGTCAAGTCCTTTTAAACATAAAACCATTGTCCCACCAGATATTGTACAGTTATTCATGACAAGTATCCAACCTAAACGGAAATCCAATATCCTATCAAATGGTTGACATCGATTATCTATTCCACTATGTTCCCCTAATCTGTGTAGTGTAATATATTACCTTTTTGTGATTTTGAATGTCAAGTTAAACTGAAGAGTTCTGGGAATACTCTTGACCATATTCTATGTGGTTATTTATGATTTTGATTCTGGAATATTTCATTATTGATTAATTAAACACGAGGATCAACGTGTGTAAAGAATAATGAACTACTACTATTACTAATATTTGATCATCAATTCCCTCAAAGCATCGCTTGCGTATACTAAGACCACCAGAGTGAGTATAAAAATTGGGATACCGGTTTAATGAGGTTGTAAATCTTGATCTTGGTTAGGATATGTGTCACGTGTGTCTAACCATCCTCTACCTCAAGGCACGAAATTTGTTGAGTGTAGCAGTACGTAGGAATAAATCTATAGTGGCTGAGTTAAAGTGTAGCATCAAATCATTAAAAGAATGAATATTGGACTGAGCTATGTTGGTTAGTGTTGACTATCAGGTGGGGATTCTCGCAATTATCGCAAATGATAGTTGGGGAGGATTGGTGACATTGTTAATAATTAGTCATAATGGCCCAGATACACTCACTTTTCATCTTCTTTAGGATACTGAAGTGCAAAATTATCTTATACTTTTCTATTCAATGAACTCTGCAATCAACTAAGATGTGCGCTATAAAAGTTCTTTAATGGTGATAAGCTCTCTTATATGCTTTTACACTTGCTTATTATTTGATACATTATGATACATTTATTTTGACTTTATTAGTACTAATAGCTTTATTGTTTCAGTTTTTTGTCGAAATTACATATAAATTATACACCACACTACAATAATCAACATAGTAACTTGATACTACTAGTTAAATCCTTGTCTAAATAAATTTATACGTGACTAAAAATATAAAAACTATTTAATGTAAAGAGTAGTTGAAGGTAATAGACAGGAATATTTGGACCTAGGTTTTGAGTTAGTTGGGACTCGGCCCCCAAATGCCCTGGTACGGCCGAGAGTGGGGAGAGTCCGCTCTCCCTCTCGAAATACTCTCACACGGCCACGCGTATATAGCCTCTGCCAGGGAAGTCCTACTCACTGCCTTCTCGTGGCGGGGGTGTTGTTTACGAAAGTGAGAGGACGAAAAGCGAATGTCCGGCGCTTTAACCGGATTCCAAACCAATGGTGCACATGGGCTCCAGTATCCTGCGGGAACAAATGGCGAATGAACCAATTGTTGGTCACCGGCTTCCATGGGACTGCATCTCCTTATGATGCTCCACTGCCTTGTGGATCAGACCTTTGGGTCGAAGGCTCGGGGTGTGGCCCCCTAAGAAAACCACCTGCTTCGGTTTGGGCACCCGGGCAGTATCACAGCCCTCACACATATCGGATGAGATTTGTGTGGCGTATATGTATTTGGTGCCTCTTTGTACCATTATCTATGTGTTGAAATAAATAAATAAATAAAAAGTTGGGACTCGTCAATAAAGCAAGTATGATATAGATGGTTAGTCATTGTTGAAAAATCCCAGTCCTACAAGAGGCTTCGAATAGTTCGGTGAGAAAGCTTCAGACGATGAAACTGGGTGAGGTGGGTCACAGTCAAGGTGAGCATTATTTACATCAATATAGCAATTACACCTTGCTCATACATGTCAAATAACAAGAAACTTAAGTCTAGGGTTACTTGAGATATCAAGTCATTTATACTGATAACCATATTGCAACTTGAACTTTAGAAATTGACTTACACTAAGGATTAGACAAACATTACATTGGTCACTACTCAGTGGAAAATTAATGTATGTGAAAATAATAAACTGCATGATTATCGCTTATGCTGTGAGCTTTAATCGAAACGAAATGAGTGTTACAATAACTGATGAGTTATTGTCACTAAAATGTCAGTAAGGTTATAGGATGAAATAAGACGTAAATTAAATAGATAAACATTTATTACAATAAGGGGGTCAAGCAAGATTACGCTATCATGTGAAATAATACGGTTAAATAAATGTAATATTTATATGTGATTATCAACAACTGACGTCACTTGGTTAAAGGCAGGGTGGTCGGTAATTGAAGCATGAAAGATATGGGTAAATCACACACACATTAGGAAGTAGTAGAGAATCTGTGGTTAGCTTTGAAATCAAACATCTTGTGGATTGGAATATATCAAAACGGTGTTCCCTGAAATCTTAAGAAAAATGATGTAAAAATGGGAAGCTTTATTCACTTGAAAGTGAAGAAACGCCTTGTTGATAAGTGGCGCCTAAACCTAAACACTTAGCCAACCAACATCTAATCATAGTGAACCAGCAAATCGAGTTACATACCCTAGAGATCATATTGCACTATGATCAATGTAAGTCGATGACAGCTAAGGACTAGATAATATGATATTAGTAACTTGGAAGTGATGGAGATAAGCTTTCAATTATAAACTCACATTGATTTGGTGAAAGAGATCTGGTAATAACAGAAGATTCATCTGAATTCCCACCTAATAATTTAACATTGTTATTGGGAAAACTGGAAGCGTTCAACGTCACGGATGAAGTTGGATTCACATGAGGTTCATTGGATCCATTAGGCAAACCACGAAGATTACGTACACTATCGTCTGAAGATGAATAATACCTATTTTTCAAGGAAAAAAACCAATTTAAATTCATTCTAAGAAATAATACAATCCAAATGATCAGCTAAAGTTTCATAGTCTAATGTATAAATAGTCAAATGCTAAGCCACACGGAGTTAAGAAACGCAGAGAATGTGATACTATTCAGCAGATTTTTATTAATTAACTTACTACCTGGATGTGAGTCATTCTAGGTACGGAGGCTAGTGATACCATCCTGTTGACCAAATAAATGTAGATGGAAAGGGGCACGAACACACAACTTAGTGACTGAAGGTCAAGCGCCTTAACCATTGAGGCACCACCCCAAGAAAATCAGGAATCTCTGGATAGAATGTTTCGTCTAAGTATGAAACCCCTTGGCAGTGTGTACCTTTGAACCTAGAATTCAAACAACGAATACTTAACCATTAGACCACTTATTCTAAGCTTTTTTCTCTATACGTAAAATAGTGATTGGTTAAGAGATAAATTCTAAAAGTTTTAATGTGGAGCGTTGACCGATGACTTTCAAATATCAACGATGATATTGGACAAACACCAATGGAATCGACTGAAGTTACAAATGTAAACCAGTGGATCTCGATCCAGTTGTGAAAAAGTAGTGTTTGCTACAAGAGAGACGTGAATTTATTCTTTGCGATCATGTGCGAGGTCGTAGGTATTTAAATTAATCAAGAGAAGACCAAACCTAGCACAGACTGAAGAAAAGAAGAATGTGGCACGGCGAGGATGAACCACCGCAAGAATGACTGCTTAAAAGGGGGGACGATTGTGGTGTGTGCTACTGATATTGATATAAGAAGTATATGACGTTACTCGTGAACAGAATGTCTGGCAGCAGAGAGACAAGAGGATCGAACAGTAAAAAATGGGGACAGAATGGAATTTGTATGAAAATGCAAGAACAATAAATTCTGAGTCATTTAAAAGAGACAATTGATGGACATTTTGCAAATTACGTATTTACAATTTGATTGTTAGATTTTATTAACAAGTGTTGAGTCGGTTTTCCGAGAACTGCAACGTAGGCTCCAGAGGCCCTAAAGGAGCCAAAGAGTCCTAGCCAATAAGAGCGTGATAGAGCTTTCTAGAATGTCAACGTGGCGTGTTAATATTGGTCAGTAACATAATATGTCTCTTAGCGGATTGGCCAAAATATAATGTTGCTAATAATCTATAAATACCCATGTTTTTCTGTACAAGAATGAACCTTCGGAGTAAAGTGCTTTTCGCTTAATTTGAGCCTTTTCTCTCGTGTTCAGGTCACTGAGTAGTTTTAGCTTGCGGGTTACCAGAATAGCTTAGGAACCGAATAAAGCGTTCAAATTAACAAGACTTATCACCCACTGGTGTTCTTGTTCACTACAGTATCATTAACCCTCATACTTAGACTAAATGCTCATACTCAAGTATCTAGTGAACAAATCAATTTAATTTTTTTTAAGTGAATTTATAAATAGACAAATAAATGAGAAACTAACTCATTGAAAATAAAAACTTCAAAAGAAGATTTGAATTAATAAAAATCAAATCCAATATGATTGAATAAATAATTACATGTCTAATTAGTATTCATTAAGGAAAAAAGGTATAAATTTTATGAATAAAACATTAGAAAGTAAAGATCTACATTTTGTAAATAATCAGAGTACGATTTAAAAGTACATATGCTTAGAAATCAAGATATGTGTAATATAAGTACAAGTATAGGTTATTCACGTGTAAGATCAGATTCATTATATCGATGGATAAAGATTCAGCTAATTGTTAGATAGTATCACTTGTCCCTATAAACAAAAAGAATATCCTAACGTACGAATCTATATTTGGCCACTTTACCATATAAATTCTAGGCGTACATACTTCTTTTAGTCTCACTTAAACACTAATGTTTATTGAACGATAAATATAATCACCCATTAGTCAGTCAATATCAACGTAAACCCTAACACCAGAAATACATTGGTTCAAGTTGTAAAAATAAAAAAATCAATTGCACAACAGTTATAGAATTTCCATATTACGTAATAATATCTAATGTGAAAATCTACATAGTATTATCGGCAAGTGAAATGTTAATGATAATTATGTAAGAAAATAGAATAATTAAGGCCAATTTAGACATTTATACTTGATCACTTAACAGGTACGGGAGACCAACTGGATATAAAGAAAGAATTTCGAGGGATCAATCACACTATCCATTCTATCATCGGGGATTACATAGATATATCTTTTATATACAACGGAAGTTATCACTATTCACCTCAACAGATATTTGTAGAACCCCGTTCCTTATCTCAGGATTTACGAGTGAATTCTTGTTTATCGACAAAGTCTTAAAATTTCCTATTGTATTCTTTCTTCTTACACAATTTTTATTTACATTCCTGTGTAACCACCATCAATATTCAACTTGTAATTTAAATTTTGTCTATTCTCGTACTACATATTGCATAATATGTCAATTCTATATGTTCAAATTCACATATTAATTAATTATTACCATGTGAGTATTTAGCACGGTTAAAACGATAACAATGAGATAATCAATGGTGCATATCGTTAAAATGATTAACAACAAAGCCACAGCAAAAGTACAGCTAAAAATGAATTGAAATCAGGCATAGTTCTAGACTAAACATAAATATGACTTGATTGACATAGTCTAATCAAGAAATTGTTATAGTAAACTTATATAGATTGTAGAATCATTCAAAACCATAAATAAACGAACAAGTAATTCGTTCTAATTTGAGGACTCGTCAACAGTTTGGTATAGATGATCTACTTAGATAGACGAACTCAGAACCTGGAGATTACACACAGGACATAATACAATGAAAACCAAGTAATCAGAATCTGACTGTCCATTGCTCTTTGAAATATGTATGTGCAAAGGGAAACTGAATGAATGAAAAGGTTAAATCAAGTCGAAAATTCATAAAATTTATTCAATCAAAAAGAAATACTCCAAAATATTGGAAAAGAATCAGAAAAAACGAGATGATTAACGAGTATACAAGAACTTATACTGTTGAATAAAAATAACACAAGTATGTTACTACTTTATTCACAATGAATATTATGGATTAAGTAATCGGTTAGTCAGCTACAACGTAGGATCAGGCACATATATGCATGGGTTCAAGCTGTCACACTTCATTAGCACAACAAAATCAACATCAAATTCATAGAAATAGTTACTTCAAAGGTAGTATTATATAAAACAAAGATTGTTTATAAGGATATAACACAGGAAGAAAGAATTAGTTGGTAGAAAGAAAGGTAGAAAGTAATTTTAACCTCATGGTTTCAGGGAAGACAAAGAGTGTATACACCTACATCACTGTGATCGATTCTGAGACGCGTTCGACTACTTCACTCCCTATCCTTAGTTCAAATATTGACGCAGGCCAGTTTTGAAGCAACGACTCGCATTTAAAAGACGAGAAACGCATCCCAAACCTTCAGGCCACCAAAAGACTGCATTTTATCAGCGTCTTCACCAAGCAGGACTATGTCATCTGAGTATTCTAAGTTGATCACTATTTAAGTAATCAGATAATGCACAACTGCCGTACGTAAAAAAGATAGAAATAGCAGCATAGATGATGACCCTAAATATGTAGCCACTAAGCCATATTCTTATATCATATACTGATTATTCATACTAAAATTAAAACTATACATATATGTATGGAACATTTGCTCGCTACATCTACATTAAAAAAAACAATAATAACAACAATAATAATACAAGTCCAATAGTTGAAACCATTACAAATTGGTTAAAAAACAGTTAAACAGTTCGTGTAGAATTTATTGAATTATAATTTGGGAAAAATATATAGATAATAACTTGAATATACATACCAGCTGCCTGTGGCATTGTAAATTAATTGAAATGAATCAAGATTAAAGCAAAGGCGTAGATTTATTGATACGCATAAATTTTCTCTTTATTTTCTCACTAAGATACCAATCAGAATAGCCAATATTTAAAGAGACTATACAAATACTTAAGTAAATCACATTCTGTTTAATTAATTACACTACCTTAAGATATATGAAAATAAAAACTTCAGTTATATATATATCACCAGCCTACATATGTCAGTCATCCTCATTTTTTCTTCCTCATCTAAGTTCCTAAATTAGAAATTTACTATAATGATAATGAGATTAATCAGATAACTTGAGTGAAGAACAAGCAGAATAAAACAGAGAAAGGTTTTCACAGCATTAACAATGTTTTATGTTGAATAACTCTCTATATCACACTATCTATCTATCTATTTATCTATTTCTCTGCCTTTTAAGTTCTACAACTATCCTGGCCCAAACTACCTTTTTTATTAAATTGTATGTAAAATAATCAATCGTTGTAACAAGCAAAATTGAATTTCTCACTTTAGAAAAAGTAATAATAATAATAATAATAGAAAATTATTAAACAGTAATGAATTAATTTAATTACATTATAGATATGGATTGATTACAAATAGTTGTGAAGTGGTTGGATGTATTATATGAAAAAAAGGCAATTTCTGTCAATATGACCTTCCTTTAAATCTTTTAGTATCTAATAGAGAATTATCTCAACAAAGTGGCTAACTACTTTAATATAAGCACTTATACGCACAAAACTAACCGGTGTGATAATGTTCTTGAAACAGTTTACTTTCAACTGCTATGCTGTGAATTTTGGGTCGATACCTGTTATACTTATTATATCAATTAAGTAGAATAAATAATTTGTGTTAGGCAAGGTACATGATAAAGATTTGGGTGAAGCGAAACCACTTCAATCAACTAACCACTCAATTTACTTATACTTGTAATTGATGGTGTGGTCAAAGAGCAGACCCGAAGGGTAGATACATATTTATTTTTAACCGTAACACAAAAATTACTGTTCTATTTTCTGAGCTAATGTTTCTTTTCAACTCTCATGCCTCTGTATCTTCTTTCTTTTTCTCTATAAGTCCTTTTTAGATGATTTTGAAATGCAACAAACTGTGCATTTCTTAATTTAGCTAAACTTTTGAATGTTATGCTACAACAAATGTCAAGGAGAGTTCATGTCCCTTCTTAATATATTCTCATACAACAGCACAATCACAACCTACTTTTGCATGAGAGTCTTATTTCCTGTCATTATGAAATACGATTGTTCCTGTAAAATTTGGAAAGTGGAAACCCAACACTTAAACCGATTGTGTTCACACAAACACTCCAACGAATGTAAATGGGAAACATTGATTTCAAACAAATACCCATATAGCCTCCAAAATATTAATGAAGTAAAAAGAGTAAAGAAAACATTGGATAATAGAATAGATCAACATTTTTGCATTAATATTCATCATCTTAAAAACAATAAATTCTTGAAGCAAAAAACACTTACGGTGAATCACAATTTACACCATGTTCTGTATTACCATTCATTGAACAACCATTTATCGCGGATACATTTTGTTCCATCGATGATTTAAGACGTGAAACTATTTGTAATGCAAAATGGAACATGAGAGTCAATAAATAATAAAAATGTTAAAGCCAATAAATCATTAAAATTAAAAATAGGGGAACAACAAAAAGGAAAGTGTAATAATCAAGACTCAAAAAAGAATAACTAACACTTTCTAAGTCATATATATATATAATAATGTCTGGGTGACCCAGAATATTCCTCGAAAAATACCCAGAGGGGTCCTGAAAACGCTGGGAAACATCTTATCCAATCAGCACTGAATAGTGGTGTTTCAAAAACATTTAGAGAGTGGAGAGTCACTTGTCACATTTCTGATCGGATGATCACCTATCCTACTATTACGTTCATTAAGGTTCCAGAAGCCCAAGGCCATCTGAACTTCGGCACACAAACCTACCTTGAAGTAAAGCGTTCTTTTCATATTTCGCGCCATTCTTCTCGTGTTCAAGTTGTTTTGTAGACTTAGCCTGGGGTTGTAAGAAGAGCTTAGGAAACCGATTCAGGAGTTCAATTAGGAGATTTATCAAATACAAATTCTTTTCAAGACAATAAATTGGTTACGAATTTCACTTCAGTATAATATAATGACAAAACCAGTTTATAAAATACATACCATAATTTTCCAAAATTAAATTGAGATGCCGATTTAGTGACTAAGGTCTATACTTTGTTAAAACTGAGTATTTTGCATAGGGTGATTTATATGTGAGCCTTCCATTAATATAAACTTTCGATTGAAGCGAACTATAACAGGATAAAGGCCAACAACAACCAGTCAAAATTGAAGATCAAAAGAATAAACCGTTAGTAACTTATCGAGAAATTCTCAATGCATACTTTAGTTTAACGTTTATGATGATCATATTGTCTAGAAAGACAATGAAAGTTCCACGATAAAACTACACAGTACAAAGAATGCTATTTCAGCGAAATCATACTCTTGAACTACAAATCGTCATCATCATCTTTCTTAAATCTACCATTATCACAGTTAAATTACTTAAGACTAGATGAAACAAAAAACTCAAGTGCGCAGAAGATTCTTTTAATGAATTTCCGGTTTATGTTAGTTCATGATGAACACTAACTACTTGACTATATTAATAGATCGATTATCAACATTTATGAAATGAATGGCGTAATTTTAATCAAAACAAGTAATAATGAATTATTTATTATATAAATCATATGATATACAATTAAATAGTAATTATTATCAAACCAAAACACGAATATGTTATGCAATAAAAATGAAGATGATAACATTATATAATATCATAGGCATGGTATATATTGTATATATCACATATAAGATAATTCGTGTCATGAATTAAATAATGGAAATAAACAAAATGTATCATTTGTTAAATATAATTTATATATCAAGTAAGAGAATTATCATAATCATATTAACACATTACAACTACTTATAAACAACAAAGAAAATTTACCATTTAATAATAAGTTTATATGATAAAACAATAAATTGCATAATTTAGTACAGTTTAAACGAGTCTAGATAAAAGTCTATAAACCATTTTTCACATCTATGTAGAATTAAAAATAAAGATTGTAAACAAAACAAATAACAACTGTCTTTTTAAAAAAAACTGATTCAAGTTGAATTTACGGAAAATATTGTGTATTTCTTAACAGTTTGTACAATCGTTTTATAACAGAGAATAATAAAATAATAATGACAAACAGAAATAAAAAAGTTTGGCACAGATATTCTTGACTCAGATCCCATAGGACAATGAGATGAAAATAACAAAAGAGATCGAAATAATGTAGCACGAATGATAAAAAGCAAAACTAAACTATGGAAAGATGATTTTACAAGACAAATTAGAAGGGTATATATATGAAAGTATATTGGACTTCGAGATTAATAGGATGGTAAAGAGTGAATGCATTTGTGTCGCTGTGAACGATTCTGAGCCATATCATGCAAGGTAACCAACAATGTATTAAAAAGACACAATTCAATGGTTGGACTCACAATTAATATCTTTAATTTAATGTATAAATCGTTTACCATATATACGAGCTTATGTACTTAACCTTTAGTCACAATTCAATGTGTAAAAGTCATTACTGATATTACTTGGGTCCCTAAACTAATGAAGTGAATGGAGTGGGGTCCCAACTTGTGTCGCTAAAAATTACCCGGTAAGTAATTGACCTAATTATTTAATTATATGCAAACATTTACATGACGATCCACATATTTCTTACAGATTGTTGACGTTGTATATGAACAATGTGTTGGATTCTGAATTAATGAGCCTCAATCGAAATACATTTCTCGTCTACAGTGTATTAACGATTTCTTCAGGCCTAGTTCCTCAGTAAGCAGTTCTAAGTTCAGATGAATTCCTAACAATCAGTGAGAAGTTATCATTTAAGTTCGTACTTATTAGGAAACTGTATTTTTAATCTTGTGAGAATTAATGCTCTCCGTAAAACTTAGCCATTCATCACGTAATATAAAAGTTTCAGACGCTACCAGTGAGGGATCCCGTATGCGATTGAACTGTCATAGGGCTGAGATTTTTTACACTGAATGATCACAAATGTTATGCTTATCTAATCCTTATTGCATCAAAGTATAGTAGGCGTGACATTTAGTCACTTAGGCTTGGTTTCAAGTTGAAAACAGTCTATAAAATTCGGCAAACACTAACGGCTAGACAGACATGTCTTTGATTGCTATCGTGAATAATCATAGTAAATCAAGACATATGAAAAGAATTGTTTACAGAATAAACGAAATTGTATTCCATGTTGTGTTTTTTTCTAACATAAAATAAAAAGAAACAAATAGTTAAGCACATAGTACAAACCAATGTTACTTTTGTCTAGTCCTTTAGTACTGACTAAATTCTATGAAGTTACAATGCAACCACTAATCTATGCAAATTGACATCGCATCCATTAGGTATTAGGTAATGATGGTAAATCAGTTGATGAGGTTGTGAATCTTCATCGACTGAGATAGTTGGGCCACGTGTTACGTATGCCCGAACACCGATTATCAAGACGTGCAATGCTAACCGGTGTTCGGGATGATTGGAAGAAAGTTAGGGGTGGCGAAACCAAAACGTGGCATCAGTGCTTGAAGTCACTAACTTCTAGTCTGAACCATGTTGGTAGATGCAGACTACTTGGTTGGGGTCCGCGTGACTATCGTAACTAATGGTTGGAGACTCTTGGTGACATGGTTCAGAATCGATCACAATGGCGTCGGTGTATACACTCTCTATTTTCCCTTGAACTAAGAGATTAAAATCGCTTCATATCTTTCTTTCTACGAACTAATTCTTTCTTCCTGTACTATATCATTATTGCAATCTTTCTTTTATATATTACCACCTCTGAATTAACTACTTTTATGAATCCGATGTCCATCTTGTTGTGTTAATGAGGTATGGCAACTTGGACCGATGCATATATGTGCCTGGTCCTATGTTGTAACTGACTGACTGCAAACACTTATCAGTCAGTCAGTCATATGAAACGTAGAATCTGCATATACATGTACATGTTTAAATGAGTAGTAGAAGTGGTAACTGTATCAGGAGTAGTGGCAGCAGAAAAGAATAGGTACCGAGAAGCACAAATAGTATAAAATTTCAGGACTCAAGGTAAGACGGAAAACGAAGAGTTAATGCATCAATGCTATTAGGATTGATTAAAAATTATATCAGCTAACGTACCCAACCATTGGTTACAATAACCGTGAGGACCCAAAACAAGTAGTATACACCTACCAATATGTATCAGTCCAACAGTAAATGACTTCATAGATTGAGGCCACATTTTCGTCTGACTGTCCCTAGTTTTCTTCCAGCAAGCAACAATAAAATTTTAACAAAACATCTTTCCTGATTTCTTTTAAAAGAATAAGCTAAAGCTATAGTTGTGAAATAAGTCACCAAACACAAATGCTTATATAACTTCTGAGTTTCCTATCGACTACCTCCAACCACCACCTTAACTTCTGGAATTCGAACCCATAATATTTATTTTACTGCTACGACTACTATTACAACTGATAATAATAAATCCAAAACTATGGTAAGAAACTGAACTAACAAGTATCCCTTTGGCTGATAAATTTTAATTGGATCTCCCATCGATTATCTTAAAATACTGAGCACAGGATTGTTACTACCACTATTATTACAGCAGATCAATAATTAAAGATGAATTTTATAACAAATAAATTTCTCAGTATGAGGGTTGTGGAGATTGTTAAGATTTTTGGTTGAGATCATGAATCAATTGATGTTAGACCACCGTTGGAAACCTGGAAGCACTGGACGGCCGTTTCGTCCTAGTATGGGACTCCTCAGCAGTGCGCATCCACGATCCCGCGAGCGGGATTCGAACCCAGGACCTACTGGCTTCGCGCCTGAGCACTTAACCATTAGACCACTGAGCCGGCATCCAATGGTGTTAGTGTCTAACATCAACCAATCCACGAAATTGCGCGACCAACTTCCATTGTACTGAGGTAGATACCTGTCTCTACCCGACACGGATTAGCTCCACAGGTCACGACTTCTCACTAGAACTCCGAGAATTCCCTCACGAAGCTAGTCACTAGTGAGCACATGTTAATTATCAGTATGAGGGTTGTGGAGATTGTTAAGATTTTTGGTTGAGATCATGAATCAATTGATGTTAGACCACCGTTGGAAACCTGGAAGCACTGGACGGCCGTTTCGTCCTAGTATGGGACTCCTCAGCAGTGCGCATCCACGATCCCGCGAGCGGGATTCGAACCCAGGACCTACTGGCTTCGCGCCTGAGCACTTAACCATTAGACCACTGAGCCGGCATCCAATGGTGTTAGTGCTTCCAGGTTTCCAACAGTGGTCTAACATCAATTGATTCATGATCTCAACCAAAAATCTTAACAATCTCCACAACCCTCATACTGATAATTAACATGTGCTCACTAGTGACTAGCTTCGTGAGGGAATTCTCGGAGTTCTAGTGAGAAGTCGTGACCTGTGGAGCTAATCCGTGTCGGGTAGAGACAGGTATCTACCTCAGTACAATGGAAGTTGGTCGCGCAATTTCGTGGATTGGTTGATGTTAGACACTAACACCATTGGATGCCGGCTCAGTGGTCTAATGGTTAAGTGCTCAGGCGCGAAGCCAGTAGGTCCTGGGTTCGAATCCCGCTCGCGGGATCGTGGATGCGCACTGCTGAGGAGTCCCATACTAGGACGAAACGGCCGTCCAGTGCTTCCAGGTTTCCAACGGTGGTCTAACATCAATTGATTCATGATCTCAACCAAAAATCTTAACAATCTCCACAACCCTCATACTGATAATTAACATGTGCTCACTAGTGACTAGCTTCGTGGGGGAATTCTCGGAGTTCTAGTGAGAAGTCGTGACCTGTGGAGCTAATCCGTGTCGGGTAGAGACAGGTATCTACCTCAGTACAATGGAAGTTGGTCGCGCAATTTCGTGGATTGGTTGATGTTAGACACTAACACCATTGGATGCCGGCTCAGTGGTCTAATGGTTAAGTGCTCAGGCGCGAAGCCAGTAGGTCCTGGGTTCGAATCCCGCTCGCGGGATCGTGGATGCGCACTGCTGAGGAGTCCCATACTAGGACGAAACGGCCGTCCAGTGCTTCCAGGTTTCCAACGGTGGTCTAACATCAATTGATTCATGATCTCAACCAAAAATAAATTTCTCTAAAATGTTATGTACACATAAACATGTGCTTGCAAAAATTCAAAGACCAACAATGAAGACTTACTTTCAGTATTCTGATGACTAGAGGTATTAGTTTTACATGTTGTTGTATAACCCGGGTAGACATTCTGATTATCACTTAAAATAATATTATTTACACTGTTCACAATTGCCTCATTGTAATCATTGCATAAAGTGTCTCGATCAGACTGCTGATTCGATAATGCCGATGATGATAATGCTTTGTTCTGATCGATGTAACTTTCAGTTGGTTCAGTTATGTCCTGTAAATAATAATGAGAAAATAATAATAAATATATCAAAATAGTGAAACTCGAAAAAAATATGGCAAAAATACAGCGTTAGAGTAAATCAAGTTCTTTATTGAACCGAAAGGAAAATGTAACTTAATAGTAGTCGGCAATAAGTAGTTTTACTCCATGATAGGACGAATTACGATAAGAGGGATAAGCATACACGTCACCCCGATGGTCAAATCAAGGTAATTAGACTATGCTAGAGTCTGCAATGTAACGAATTACAAATCAATGTCCAGCTAACCAGAATCCGGGCCTATAAATTTAGATAACACTACGGCTAGAAGAGACCACCGCAATTTGAAATATATGAGAAAGTGACTGGTGTAGGTGTCAGCAATTCACACGGGTATATATGTTTGTTTCAAAACCAAATAGATGGAACTTTGAGCCATGTCAATCAAGATCTAACCATCGGTTGCTATCGTCTCGCGAATCCCAACCAGGTAGTCTACACCTACTAACATGGTTCAGTTCACTTGTCAGTGAATTCATGGATTTGTGCCACGTTTTGGTCTGGCCGCCCCTAGCTTTCTTCCAACCTACTCCTATACCATAAAACATCGCACGTCGGAGCATTCGGTAGTTGGGCATACATAACACGTGTTCCAGCCATCTAAACTGATGAAGTTTTACTAATTCATCAACTGATTTGCCATCATTACCTAGTACCCATTTCTTAACAACTGAGTTACTTACTCGGTGGTCCCAGGATATACGAACAATGTCTCGAAGACATATATGATCAAATACTAGTAACCTACGAATATCCTCTACTCTTGCCGGCCATGTTTCACTGCCATAAAGTAGAATGGAACGAACTGCAGAGCAGTAAACCCGTCCTTTGGTTGGTAGACAGATATCTCGCCTACGCCATAAATGACGTAAGTTTGGCAAAAGCTAGTCGAACCTTCTGTATTCGTGCTGAGATTTCGTCACACACCAGACCACAAGGGTTGATGAGACTTCCAAGATAAGTGAAGCGGTCGACACGCTCAACCACTTCACTCCCTATCATTGGTTCGGGTGTTGATGCAACTCAATCCCGAAGCAACATTTTGCATCTCGAAGGGGAGAATCGCATGCCGAACATGCCCGCATTGATGCTTAGAGTGGTCAGAAGACTCTTCATTTTGTCAGCGTCTTCAACAAATAGAACTATGTCATCGGCATATTCCAAGTCAACAAATGAATCTCCCGGTAGAAGTTCAACCCCTGGAAATGTAGATGAGGACAGTGTTATCTCTAAAAGCACGTCAACGATAAAATTAAACGATCATTGTTATAACTGGATGTGAGGGATCATAAAAATCATAAGTGAGGATACAAAAAAACGTACACATACACTTACAGAGGATGAAATTTGACGATTTTGGACTAATATTCCCATAGGTTGTGCAGAATATGCCTGATTGTTATTATTATAGTTAGTTACTTGTTGATTCGATGATAGCTGTTGATTTGGTATTTGGTATTTTGATTGTTGATATTGGTTTAGTTGCATATCTTGATTAATAGTAATAGTTGTTGTTGTTTCATTTGATACCAACTGATCATAAGTTACAGGAGGCTTACATTGTTGTTGTTGAGCTTGTAAAGCCTGTTGACAATGTAGTGCAGCTAGACTTTCTAAGGCTGATTTAACAGCGGCAGCAAATGCATCTGCTTCTTCAACTGATGTGAAATTCAAGCCGTAAACTTGTTGTCTACTATCACGCCACTGATGAAACGTTGGACGCGCTTGATGATATTTTAACCCACGTGCAATGGCACAGTTAATAACAACCTAATAGTCATATATGCAGAGATTGGCAACGGTAATAAGTTATAATAAATAAATTAATGATATAAAATAAGATGGCTATAAAAGCACTAAGGGAGCTTTAACGAAAACTGCTTTGGTTGCAGAAAAAATCTTCACTGAACATTGGTAGTAGTCAGAGGGAGTCATTTTGACAACGGTTTTTAATACTTTAATACAGTCATTTATTTATTTATTTAGTTGAACACATAAATATTGGCACAAAGGGGCACCGAAAACATATGCGCTACATAAGGCACTTGATTTTTGTGTGGGCTGGGATAATGCTCATGTGCCCAAACCGAAGCAAGTGGTTTTCTTAGGGGGCCACACCCGGAGCTTTCGACTTAAAGGTTTGATCCACAAGGCAGTGGAACAACGTCAGGAGATGCAGTCCCACGGTAACCGGTGACCAACAATTGGTTCATACGCCATTTGGTCCCTCAAAATCCCGGAGCCCGTGTGCACCATCGGTTTGAAACCAGCCTAGTTTTTTCTGGTCTGTTCTTCACGAGCTTTAATTAGGCGTCGAAGAATTATTGAAGCTAATATTTTAGATACTATATTAGTCAAACTGATTCCTCTGTGATTGTCACAAGAGAACTTTTGTCCTTTCTTAAAAACTGGCACAATCAGTGATTGGGACCAGTCAGATGAGATTACGTCCAGTTCCCAAATTCTACCTAAGACCTCGGTTAATCTCATTGCTAATACTGGACCACCATCCTTAAAAATCTCAGAAGTAAACCTGTCAGGGCCTGCTGCTCTCCCTCGTTTCAGATTTCCTATGGCTTTTTCAACTTCGTAAAGAGTCGGAGGACTTACATTAACTTGCCATTCAGGTAGACTGGAGATCGTGGGAAACCGAAGTGTGGCTGAAGGCCAGTTGAACTGATCCCTAAAGTGTTCTTCCCATCGATCCAATTTCCTGGATTGAGAATGTATAATATGTCCATCTTTTTCTGGGATAGTTTCGCTAACAGTCGGGTTTCTAATACCGGTTTCCTTAACAAGTCTGAACATTTGTTTGCTATCAAATCATTATGACTACTAACTTTATTTTTTAGAAGCAAGATGGAATTGGTGGCTCACTTCAAAATTACACATGGTAGTTGTGCCACACAAGCTCGACCAAGTTGATAAATGATGAATGTCTGTTGATTATATCGGAAGATAACTAAATGATGCCATAAACCAAACAAAAATCAGTAAAGCGATTAATACTAGTTTTCTGAAGTAATAGGTAGATACGCAATGTACATGGATATGCAAAAAAACACTTGAATGACCTCAATAATAGATTGATGAACCAAATCAAGGAAGATATAGTGATTTGAAGGGAGTGTTGAGGAGATACTCACGGGATACATAATGACATAAGAGACTGGTCATTTGCAGTGCAGTGTCGGTTACTATGTTAAGCCCATACAACTTATTCTAACTTCTGGACAGGCCAATTTATCCATTCTTCTTGAGTCATGTTTTGACCTTGTTAATTATTCACTTATCAATCCTGACTGTCTTTATATGAGTATATGTTTGTACATCTTATCCTACTCATCACATGTCTGTAGCTCATTTTTGTGTGACTATAAATATCGATTAGCGCTTGACTAAATGGAGTTTTTCATATGCCTTCTCCACCGCGGATTCTTGTTTCGCCTCGCCCTCTCTTTTTCGCCTTACTCGCTGCGACTCACTGATTGTCTGTTCCGATCAACGACTGTACAAAATATATGTGTTCAAACATACATTCTCGCACTTGACCTATTTAATTCCGTTATTCACCAACACGAGTTAAGTCTATAATTCTATACGAGTGACGATATGCATAACTCAATAACAATCAATCATGTGATCTAACTGAAGTCAGATCTCGGGCCACTAAAGCAGTCCTTAACACTAATAGCAAGAAGATTCGACTAACCGTTAGAAATGAATTAGATATAATGAGCTTTTAAGATCTCTATTTCGATATGGTTACTTAATTGATGTCGTTTAGTGATAAGAACCTCTAAAAGACAAGGCTAATGATTTATAATCAGCACAAAAGAATTGTATTAAGACATCTATTAGGTAGCCTTAAAAAATCGTCTTTTAAAAACTTCAAGAAAGTAACCACTAGTTATGCCATACCTCACGATCTGGTAACCTCCATCCAACAACTCGATAGGCATTAGTTAACGTGTTGTGATATAGTTGAACTTTGGAAATGCCATGTCCTGGGCCACTTGGGATCCAAGTACTAGCCTTCGAATCATACAGCATAACATTTGCTTTTGCTGTGGCCACGGCACACTCACTACAATAACGAAACATGACATGAAGAAAATTAATAAGAATAAAGTAGTTTGTAAGTAATCTATAACCTTGGGTAACTTAATTTTTCTCGTTATGACTTTAAGAAATCTCTCTTGACTTCCCTGGATGTACTAAAGACTACATATAGGGAAAAATTAGATGAGGTTGTGTCAAAACCGAGACATTTTCTAATGCGAAACGAATGCAGTTCCCCAGAATACACAATTTAACTACATATTCGTCAACCATTCGTACGAAAGTATTGCCTCATACTTAACAATATTTGAAAAACGATACTTTCCGTCAGTTCTAACCTGACGGGATCATATCGATCGCCTGCACTAAGTAAACTAAATAGGTAAGATCAAGATACATCAATCTGACTACTGGCCTGATTCACTTCGGGATGCTAAGGTTATGGTCTAAGAAAATCGTTATTTAAGGGTAGGGCCACTGAGCGAAATAATAAAAAGTCAATGGAGTCGCGATTATTTTTACATGTCCTTAATTATGTAGTGTCATCTCATGATTTTTATTATTCGAAAAATGAAACTATAATTTATGGATGCCTTTTAGCGACAGTAAAGTGACCTTGGGGATGTTCACTCACTTACTAGAGCTAAATGAGGGTTATAAACCAGTGTGGAGAGCTGGAATTATGATTTTGATGGTTAGGATTAGGAATTAGATTAATTATATTCATCACGAACTGGCATGAGCTGAAATGCCAAAACACTATTAAGCCGAAATCCAAGACCTGTAATCTTAAATGTGGTTTGTTCGTCCATAAACTATAGCCTCTCCATGTTAAAGTTTACAGAGTTCACTAGTGACGAACTGTTTTACACTGCAGCATGATTTTCTTTGTTATAACACGACAAACACTCGCCCACCATTTTTTAAGCTATTTAAGGGAGTCAGAAAACATTAAAAAAACACAAATCAGAATTTCACAACTATAAAGTTATTGAATGCGGCTATGAGAATTGTCACAGCAAGTGTGAACATAAGATGGTTGTGCATATTAATTTTAGTTCACAGGACGAAATCAAATTTAAGCAATTCATTATAGTGTGTAGGTAAATGAGCGAATTTACCCAAACTTACGCCATAGCAAACTGACTACGGTCAACACTCGCTCCCCTGGTTCGACCTTGAGAAGTTAAAAATTCCCGTAGAGTTGCAAAACTGTAATATGAAATGAGTAATTAGAACAAACAAAGCACAGCTGAGAAATCAGCAAATCGCTAAATATGAACAACCCTCAAGGATTAGCAACACGATATTTAAGAAATGTGTGACTACCTGTAACACTTTGACTCCAGTCAAACAAATTACTAAACTTATGTCGAACTCTGTGGGACCACACAACGCGTTTTTTTTTAAATGATGGTCTTCGAAACACATTACACATCGATCAAAACAAGTGTTATTAAAACGGAAAGAGAAGGAAATTTCGGTAAACTGGTGTGGAATATACTGATTATTCCGTAAATAATATCATGTTTCCTCCGGAATGCTCGAAACATTTGCTTACACCTCCTAGAATGGCAGCACATTTCATGACTGTACAGCTTTCAAAAGGCGAAACCAAACCTGTTATCTATCCTACTCTAGCTAAAGGGTATCCTATCTTGAACTTATGTTATGACTGAACATGATTGATTTTTTTGGGATATTGATATAAAACATTCCCTAACGTAAAAATTCTACGCAGCTTGTCGCGACTTTCGCATTTTAATAATGACAACCTCAGAGAAACTATGAAACGAGCGTGGCAGACTTCAGGATGAAAATCATCATAGCTCGTAGAAATGAAGATGACTAATATTACGCCAATAGCGCAGGAATCTTATTGGTTTCCACTGGATATTCAAGAGACATTGACCTTAAATTTGATATAGCCCTATCAATTTCGGAATTTTTCAGAATTCCGATCACTATGTATTGAAATATAAACCTTCCGTATTTTAAGATGTATCAATCAAATGTATTCTCAAGTTGGTCACTTGTTTCTGGGGCTAAGTATTCGTACTTAGTGCATTTAGTAATATGGAAATCCCTTGATGTAAGAAAAACCTACTTTCGTACCAACGAATTATCCATGGCCTTAAATTATACTAAATTGTTAATAACAACGCTTACGTAAATCTCTTTTAGTTTCTGTAAGGTCAACTCATTAAGGTCATCTAATTTGTTCTGTACATATGTTGCGATTACAGTTGTTCACCTGTAGTACTCAGAGCCTTGTATGTGAGTGTGCATGATGGTGCATATTTATTTACCCACTTGGTTTTATTTTTACATGGTTTGTAGAAACCGAGTCAACCTAACTCTCTCTGAGTTGGCTTAATATTGAAATCCAATACAATGTATCATCAACAAAACTATCGTTTGTTTCCCCTGTAGTGACCTTTTCTAACGGCAGGCCCCTATTAAGACCTACTTTTATTAAGAGAACGCGATTGGTGTAATGGAAACAATTATTATTATAACCAATTGTACTAGGGGTTGTTTTACCGTACTTGCTTGTTTAACTGTACCAATATACGTACATTTTTCCGTTGGTTGTGATCTTGCACGAATTTGATTACACTCAGTAATCACCCTTATAACCTGGCACGATCTCGGTATTCTTTCGATACCACGGGATCGCCAACAAATACATCTCGACTACAGCCATCAACTGCTGTCTGATATTTGGCCTACGGGAGATCTTATCAGTTGACGGGCGCGTAGTCTTTCTGTAGTGATGATCCTAGTCATCAGCGACTCAGTTCCACACTACACGCTGATAAAAATAACGTTTTAATGCCGTTGTTTATTCTACATATTTGCGACTAAACAGCTTTGAAAATAAATTTTTTGAAAAGATAAATCTTCTTTGAAGCAATCTTCCTAATATTATGTCTTAACGAGTATATTTCGTTTATTTATAATGAATAGTCAAAAGACTGTGCACTGAGTTGCGTATGTTATGTTTTTCATTAGCACAACTAATATTTAATCACACTTCAGTCAACGAACGTCACTGAAAATAAACTATGTTGGACATGTAAATAGACTGAATGATTGTAAACAACAATTTATCATGTCTTGCGCAAACCATATACAGCCTGAAAATTCTAATCACAGCGAATGTAGCAATTGATTGATCACATGAGAGCCTACTTATATATATATATATATATATATATATATATATATATATATATATATATATATATATATATATATATATATATATATATATATGTTTGAATCCTGTTACTAGCTTTTGCTTGCCTAGTTGGGCCTTATTCGATTTGATCATAAATTTGCCTCCACATTTGCTCGCTCGCACATATTGGCCTATCTGTTTGAAAGTCGCTGGATTCACTTGTTGATTTGATATTCGTGCTATCCGCTAATAAACTGTACTTTCTGTTTCTTATTGCCTTCAGAATTTAAACACCGTTGAGATTTATATTGTAGCGTGGCGTCGAGTCGAGATTGACTATGAACACCACTACCAAAAAACACATGCCAAGAAAATCAGAAGGCGTAGGTTGAGCGTAACCAGATTTATTCGTTTGGCGATCTCGTGGTATCGAATGAATACCGAGATCGTGCCAAGAACGGTACAAGCGGAAGCAGGAGTACAGAGTACGTGCGAACAGTAGCGAAAACCGCGGAACAATAATGGAAGGTAATGGAAGCACAAAAATGGCTATAATTAGAACAGTTAAACAAAAGCACATTAAAACAAACACTGGTACAACTGTTTATAATAATAATTGTTTTTATTAAACCAGTCGTGTTCTCGTGATAAATGTAAGTCACTACAGGAGCCCCCCGCTAGAAAGGGTTTACACTTTCGATAAATAGCGGTTTAACTCGTGGGACTGATCGGCTGACGAGCGATTGTAGGACGAACGAATTGGCGAACAGGAAAGCGATCGTTGATCGTCGAGTTGCCAACGATGGTTATTTTCAGAGAACGGTACCAGGAGCGATGTGCTGTACTTATTGCTTGAGTTAACATGCTACACGAGTGGTTTGTATCCAGAATCTGAAGATGGCGTTCGTAGGGAATGCGGACCAGAAACGCTGCAGACGTAGGACGAAACCACGTTGAGCCAAAAGATCAAAAGTGACCGCAACGACCAAGTTCGAGACCAAGCGTGTGCCAAACATTCAAACCAATTTATCGACTGAGTGCGTTGACAAGAGCGTGGGTGGCCAGTCCAGCTTTCGCCAAAGTTGACTGAAGTCGACATAACCAAACCAAGATGGTCGAAGGCGTGAGCTCAGGAAACAAAAAGAAAATCAAAAAAGAGAAGAGTGTAGCGTGCGTGTAGTATAGGAATAATCCTACACAGTATCGGTTGTTCACTGTGCGACTAGTCACGGGTAACCGTACTCGGCGACCGGAACGTGAGACGGTAGTCTCGTTGGCGTCGCGTGAGCCTGCAATCTCATCCGAAGTCAAGGGCCGCGTGGTCTGCTGATCTGGACGTGAGACTATTGTCTCGTCCGTAGACGGTGCAAATGACGCTTGCTGTTGACTGGGACGTGAGAATGAGGTCAGGTGTATCAAGTGTGGGACCTGAAGGCGGCTTGAGGATCCCGCTAGTAGGTTTGATAGGTCTAGCATTGAATCTCAGGTTATCAGACAGGGCACTGTCATCGACGTGTGCTGGTTTGAGACGATCAATGCTGACGATCTCGACGCGGCCATATAGATCAACCTTGAAGGTCTTTTCGTGACGAGCGATCACGCGAAAAGGGCCTTTCGTAAGGTTGTTGCAAAGGTTTGCGTACCGAATCTACTCCTATGAAAACATGTGAACAGGTAGATCACTCTCGAGGGAGAGCGACCTGTCGATGTTGTATTGGAGTTGACACCGGAGACAGCGTTCGCATAAATGCAGACAGTCGATGGACGTAGTCTAATTTAGCGAAATCATGTCTGCTCCGTGATGTGAAGAATTCCCCGGGCAGACGCAATGTCGTGCCGTATACTAGTTCAGCGGCGGAACATTTGATATCTGCCTTTAAGCTCGTTCTGATTCCTAAAAGAACGAGCGGTAAGGTTTCGCACCAGTCGTCGTTTTCGTGTGCTCGAAGGGCACTTTTAAGTTGACGGTGAAACCTTTTAACTAAACCATTTGAAGCTGGATGGTAGGCTGTAGTGCGTATGCGTTCCGTACCAAGCAGCCGAGTAAGTGAGGAGAATAGTGCGAACTCAAGTTGTTGTCCTCGGTCAGTCGTGACAGTCGAGGGACAACCGTATAGAGCTATCCATCGTTCTACGAAGCGGTGAGCAAGTGTCTCACGTGATAGACGTGAAAGGTATAGCTTCGGGCCATCTGGTGAAGCGGTCGATGCACGTGAGCATGTGATCATACCTAAGCGATGATGGCAGTGGTCCTACAATGTCTAAATGGACGTGGTCGAAGCGAGCATCAGGCGTAGCGAAAGTGCCAATGGGGGCGACTACGTGCCTGTGCACTTTTGATCGTTGACATTGTAAGCATTGCTTCGCCCACATACGAACATCTTTATTCATAGACGGCCAGACGTATCGTGCAGCGATGAGACGTAATGTGGCTGCGATACCTGGGTGAGATAATCCATGCAGGGCATCGAAGACGAGACGGCGATAAGTAGAGCGTACGATGGGTCGAGGGAGACCGGTAGAAGTGTCGCATAGGATGGTGCCAGAAGTCGTGGCTAGAGGTACTTCCTGATACTGAAGGGACGTAGAGCGTGGTGCTTTAGTACAACTGGGATCGTTTGCTTGGGCAGCGGCCATAGCAGGAAGATCGAGCACCGGCAGAGTAACTGCATTCGTTTGGATTCGTGATAGAGCATCGGCAACACAGTTCGACTCGCCTTTGATGTGACAAAGGTCTGTCGTGAACTGGGAGATATAGTCCAAATGTCTGCACTCTCGTGGTGAGTAGCGGTCAGACTTGGTATGCAAAGCATACGTTAAGGGCTTATGGTCGGTGAATAAGATGAATTGTCGTCCTTCTACTGCGTGCCGAAAGTGTTTGATGGCGCAGTAGGCTGCTAGCAGCTCGTGACCAAAAGCGCTATATCTCGTCTCCGTGGAAGTAAGGCGTCGTGAGAAAAACTCGAGGGGTTTCCAACTACCGGAGATATTTTGTTGCATGACTGCTCCTATAGCGACATCGGATGCATCAACCGCTATACTAAGCGTGGGTGATGGATCGGGATGGGCGAGAAGAGTGGCTTGTTCAAGAGCCATTTTGAACTCTGTGAATGCAGTACGTGCAGAATCGTTCGTTTCTAATTTGCTTGGATTGCCGCGATGTAGGTCGGTTAGTGGTCGTAACCGTTCTGCCGCGTGTGGGATGAAGCGACGGTAGAAGTTAAGAAAACCGAGAAAAGCCTTCAGTTCTTTGAGTGAGGACGGAACGTTGTACTCCTTTATTGCTTGCACTTTGTCCTCACAAGGTAGAATAGACTCTTGGTTGATAACATGACCCAGAAATATTATTTCTCGTTTACCCAACTCTCATTTGTCTGGGTTAACTACTATTCCATTATCCGAAAGACGTTGGAATAATAGTGTAAGATGTTGATAATGTTCGTCTACGTTAGATGATGCGATTAGCAGGTCATCAATATAGACATGAACAAAATCTAGGTCTCCTACAATGCTATCGATACACCTTTGAAACGTTTGAGCAGCATTCCGTAATCCAAATGGCATTCGTAGGAACTCAAACAAACCGAAAGGAGTCGTGATAGCAGTTTTTTCGATATCTTCAAGAGCGACTGGGATCTGATGATATGCTCGTACCAAATCGATCTTGGAAAAGAAAGTCGTGCCCTTGAGCGATGCCGTGATGTCGTGTATGTGGGGGATGGGGTAGCTATCAAAGCGCGTAACTACGTTTAGAGCTCGGTAGTCGCCGCATGGTCTCCAACTAACCCCATCGTTTTTGCGCACCATGTGAAGAGGAGAGGCCCATGGACCGTGAGAAGAACGAATAATACCAGTAGCTAGTAAATTGTCAAACTCACGCTTAGCAAAGGCTAATTTGTCCGGTGCCAGTCGACGAGGTCGTGCCGTGACTGGCGGTCCGCGGGTGACTATGTGGTGAACCACACGATTGGTCACCGATGGAAGCTCCTCGAGTGGTTTAGTGAGCACGGGGAATTTCTCGAATAAAGCGTGGAATTTATCGTCACGCGAGTAAAAAGTGCCGAGGATCCGATACGCGTTCATGTGGGCTTTACAGCCCATGAATTTGCTGTTCGACGAAGTATCGATTAGCTGTAGCCTACGTGAATCGACAAGCTATTCATAGTGCTGTAGGAAATCGATACCTAGTATGACTGTGGGAACATCAGCAATGATGAACGTCCACAGATACCGTGGTCGGTTGCCCAGGTTGACCGCGAGTTGTCGTGTACCGTAGGTAAAAATAACTGAGCCATTCGCAGCGCGAAGTCGAAGCACTGTGGCTTGTGACTTGCTGCTACCTCGTGGTACGACAGAAACTTGGGCCCCAGTGTCTACCAGGGACCTAGCGTTTGTGCGGTAATCGTGCACATAGAATATGCGACCAACATGGGGTGAAGGGCCGGCGAGTACGGCCGCTTTTACTCGCCGGCGCTGGTGTTTCCCACCTTGTATGAGCATGGTGCTCGACAACGGCGGACGCCAGACCCGGAAGACCTATGGAACCAGCACCAACTGTCACTCGCTTCCGAAACCGGATTTCGGCCTGGCTTGGAAGCCGCTCTTTTTGGGCGAGTGGTGACGGGTTTGCGAGAACTTGAGCGAGCTCGGGGGACGTAGGGTTGTGGTAGGTTACAACGGTCTTGAAAACTAAGACGCGTGTGGATACACCCGTCCCTGTCGCCATGAGCTGAGGAATGACTGGCGTCCATGTCTACTTTAGGACGTGCCGCTGAAGCAACAACATAGCTGTCTCTATTACTAGTCCTCGCCAAAATTTTGTCTGCTCTGAGGGCCACCTGGTTAAGCGGTGAGTCCTCGAGCAGTGCCGTCACAGTAGGTTGGATATGAACTGGTAGTGACTCGAGCCACAATTCCTTAACTATTTCCGAGTCAGATGCTGTTGGTACTGCAAGGGATTGCAGGTGCGTGAGATGGTGGCTAGGTTTAGCATCATACAGGGGGTGACGTGCTAACAATGTCCTCAATCGTTCCTCCCTTGATAGGAGGAAATGCCGGAGAATCGCCTCCTTGAGGTGATCATAAATATTGGGCACGTTGGAATTGAGGACGACCTCACGAACAGCTACTAAGTGGTCTCCGAGTAAAGATTCTAGAGCGAAGGCGTACTTTTGCCTTTGGCTCGTAATGTGATGAGTCTCAAACTGGGACTCTAATGCAGCAAACCAAACCTCTGGGTCGTGGGGAGTGAATGATACAGGTCGAAAGTGAATGGCCTATACGTCTGAGTCTATAACATTAATAGTACTCTTGTCGCTATCCATCATGTCGTGTAAATTATATACTGAAAATTAATATGAAAATATACGACAGACGTGGATAGATAAACTATAGACTCACCAAATTGGCTTCTTTCGAAGATTTCACCAGAGGTTGAGGCGTGTTCCAAACTTTGGGATCACCAATTGTAGCGTGGCGTCGAGTCGAGATTGACTATGAACACCACTACCAAAAAACACATGCCAAGAAAATCAGAAGGCGTAGGTTGAGCGTAACCAGATTTATTCGTTTGGCGATCTCGTGGTATCGAATGAATACCGAGATCGTGCCAAGAACGGTACAAGCGGAAGCAGGAGTACAGAGTACGTGCGAACAGTAGCGAAAACCGCGGAACAATAATGGAAGGTAATGGAAGCACAAAAATGGCTATAATTAGCACAGTTAAACAAAAGCACATTAAAACAAACACTGGTACAACTGTTTATAATGATAATTGTTTTTATTAAACCAGTCGTGTTCTCGTGATAAATGTAAGTCACTACAATACAATAACGGCTATCAAGGTGATTGATTAAGAAACCGAAGCTACCACAAAGTAAATTCCAGGCTGTGTCTGTTGTGATGATTGATTTTGACCATTTTGTAATGATCGAAACTGTTCAGATAATGGTGGTTGTACCAATATGAAATCATCAACATCGGATTGTGAATGATCCGACTGTGATGATGAATCGAGTTGTTGAGAATTGACTTCATTCTGAATTTCTTGTGTTCGTTGTATTTCACTATCCTGAGATTCTTGAAGTAGTTCTGTTGATTGTTGTTGTTGTTGTTGATGATGATGATCAGCTATCAAATGACCAACGTCATTTCGTGATTTTGGTTGATTATATATCTGTGAATCTAGTGATTATTGTGTTTGATCAACTGTAATTTGTGAACCATCATTTCGGTTTCGTTGAATAATCAATGGAAATTGAATCAACCCACCATTTTTAATTAATGATAGGTTTAAAATGTTTATGGTATTATACATGAAATTTTGTTTTATCATAATTAAATATTGATTCATATTTTTCATTCCTTGTAAAGAAATCATTAGTATACTTATATAGAAAATTTTAACTCAGAATATAAGAATTAGTGTCAATGGTTACTCAATAACAGCTGTAAATTTGTCACTTTTAATTAAATTCTTTACAAGTTTAGATGAAATCACTCATGGTAAATCCAATATGAACAGAGAGATAATACTACCTAGTACAATTAAAGAAATATTTTTTTTAAAAATTACACTTTGTAACCCACAAATTCTCATCTAAAAGTAATGTTTTTGCAAACTGTTTAGCATCGTTTACTTATATAATTGAACAATGTACCTTAATTGTTACTTAACAACATTTTTCGAATAATTGATTAGGAAACTTGATTAATTTTCATTTATTTTGTGTATACAAGTTTGTGTCTCCGGTCACAGGTCCGGTTAAAGAAGGAGGGTTGAGTGTGAGGTCAGAATCGTCATCCTGTAGAAAATAAACTTGCTAAAAAATGCTAACCAGAATAAATAATTTGAACCATTTAAAATCTGTCCTTTGAGTTGAAGCATCTTTGTTCAGAAAAATTATGACGCCTCATGGTGAAAGCCGAGATTTTTCGGAAGTCACAAGGCAGATGCCTCTTCTAACCACCAGATTAACAATTAATATAGGTAATTGGGATGTCCGGTAAAAGTGTGAAACCGGCAGGACTAGTCAATTAACAATGGAAATGATTACATACAACTTGTCGGTTCTCATTATCAGTGGAACACATTACACCAAATCTAGACAGAAAAGGATAGGTTCGAAAGAGATGTTGCTGTACACTATAGGGGACGTTAGATCCCCAAAGGTGGGCCAAAGGTGCTCTTTTCACCTTCATGTCGTATTTTTCACTTGGGAGAATCTTAAACGCTATTGGTCCGTTGTGTCTTTTAGTATGCTATTTTTCAACGCTTCCCAAGGGTGGTTTTGTGCTGCATATATACGTTTTGATCTGCGTCTTTTGTTATCGCTCGTGCTTCTGGCTTTTTGCGGAATATACTTTTCCATCTGGCCTTCGACTTCTCTTTCTAGTTAGCGGGGCTGAGACGGAATAGAATACATAGTTTATTGGTCTTTGGTTACAAGTTTTAGTTCAGTTCACAGACTAAGTGAGCCCGTAACCGCTTCAAACCTAGCAACTCCCATCACGAAAAAAAATGCCCCACACACATTCTTGGAGATGCTGTGATGCTGTCGTGAACATGAACACCGGGGGGGGGGACAATAGAATGTATCCAGCATGAAATTACAGGACTTGTTAGTAAAATCTAACAATCATAAAGTAAATGCTTAATTTGCAAAATGTCCATCAATTGTCTCAAAAAGGTCCACACTTCATTGTTCTTGCATTGTCATACAAATTGCATTCTTTTCCCATTCTTTACTGTTCGATCCTCTTGTCACTCTGCTACCAGACCTTCTGTTCACAACTAACATCATATACTACTTATGTCAATATAGGTAGCACATACCACAATGCTATCCAAAGATGCACGAAAACACTTATATAATAGGAATCTCATGAACTTATGATCATCAAAGCATCCTTTAAAACATAGGAGGAGAAAATCACGATGAATGTTATCCGGTGCTATACACCCACCAAAGATAGCAATGACAACGATAAAGGTCAGATTTACGAGACGCTGAAATCGATCGTGGAGAAGTGATCAGGACAGTATCTACTCATTCTGATGTAAAAAACCCTAAACACCAAAGTCGTAATGGACAATATCGGGTATGAAGATATCATGGGTCGATATGGACTGGCTGGGACAAAGGAACGAGAATGGTGACAAATTTGCACATTGATGTGCATCCAACAAAATGATCATATTTTAAAGAGAGCTCTCTTTAAAATAATAAAGGGAACTATGTGTATAAAATGATTATAGTCGGTACAATATTCCCACACAAACGCACACACAAGTTAAATGGGTCTCACCGGATCACACTAAACGGAACCAGACCGGTCATATTAGCGTTAGTAAACATTTCAGAAGGTCAATGGAAGACGTGAGAACCAAGAGAATGACCGATATAGCCTTAGATCACCACCAACCGGTGGTTGCCGAGATAAAACTGAAACGAAAGAAATACTGGACACCTGGGTAAACGGCATTACAACGTTTCAATACAACATTCCTTCGAGATACTGACAAACCCAACGAATTCAAGATAACTCTCAACAACAGGTTCCAAGACTTACAATTTCTACTGATAGAGGCGGAAACTACTATGGAGGACAAATGGAAAGGGACTAAAGGAGCACTAACTATGTCACGGCATGTATCATCATAATAATGATTTTAAATGTAAACCCTGGACAGGATTCAAGACAAGAAGAATAAAAAGACAGCAAGTAACAACTTCCAAACAAGAACAGAGAAAGTGAATTTGAACGCTGAATACATAGAAGCAAACAAGCAAGTAAAGAAGAGCATTATTGCCGACAAGCAGTGGAAAAAGCTGCAAGAGATGAAAATATGAAACAACCATATGACACTAAGAAGAAACTGATAGGGAGATATAGTAAACCTGAGAGACTCATCAAGGACAGAGGCAAGCCATTCACTGAAATTCAAGAACAGAGAAATAGATGAGCTGAACAATTTAAGGAATTCTTGAATAAGTCAGCGCCATTGATTCCACCGGATATCGAAGTAGCACACACGCATTTTCCTATAGAAGTCACTTCACGAACGATCGAATAATCAGGGTTGTCATCAGAAAAATCAAGAGTGGCAAAGCAGCAGCACCTGACAATATACCAGCTGAAGCACTGAAGCCACACATAGAAGTAACTGCAAAAATGCTTCATACTCAATTCAGGAAGATTTTGGAGGAATAACAAGTGCCACCGACAGACTAGAAAGAAAGAGATCCAATCAAGATATCAAAGAAAGGAAATCTGAGCAAGTGTGAAAACTCATCTACAGTGTCATCACACTGCTGTCAGTACCAGGAAAGGTTTCCAACAGAGTGTGGCTGACCTGAACATCTGAATGGAACCACAGAATATGATGGACAAGTTGGGTGCAACTAGACGATTTGGATTTTTCGGACGAACTAGCCCTTCTGTCTCGTAAATGCAAACAAATGCGGTTGAATACATCCAGTGAGGCAGGACCTCTACAGCAGTATGCATTCACACACACAAGGGAAAAAGCAACATCCTCAAATATAACATGAAAAGCACTAACACCATCACATTTGATGGAGAATCTCTGGAAGGGGTGGAAATATTCACGCATCTGGACAACAATAACATCCATGAACGTGGATGATCTGGTGCAGATGTACAGGCAAGGATTGACAAAGTTGAACAACATATGCAACTCAACACAACTGTCCATCAACCAATATGAAAATCAGAATCTTCAATATGAACGTCGAGACAGCACTACAGTATGGACCTGAAACTCGGAAAACTACTTCAACCATTATCACAAGAATACAAGCATTTCATAAATTTATGAGAGTTTGTAATCCCAAATGTTATTTTGTACTTATTTACATGATTAATTCTGGGATTTTTATGCGAGTTCATGTTCTTCGCAATTATTTTGATCTGTTTACTTACATCTTTCGAATATATGTATTCCCGATTTTGTAATACACTTTTATTGTCGCATTGTCCTGTAAAACTGATTTTACAATAAGATTAATCTAATAATAAACGAAATACTTAACACTTGGAGTCAAACGTTATCGTAAACTGTCATAAGTGACCTTCTTAAATTAGTGATGAGAGTAATTTCGTCATCTAAGCATTCCTTTGAACAAATTTTACGAGCGCGGGCATACCGTCAACATTTTGCACCCTTTTAAAATTATCAATAGACAAAGAAGTACGACCACTCTCCGTTTTGCTGAAGCCATTGTGATAAAAAAACTTAAACCGGACTTATGTATTCAAAAAGAGACTTTAATAAACTTATCATTACCCTGTCAACCCTTTTTTTGTGTTTGGGTTATTTGGGTTATTTTATTCATTTATTTATTTTAAAATATTTATATTCCTCTCCCATTACCTAATTCTTAAACCAAAATTTTATTCACATATTTCCACCACCTGATCCTCTTAAATTATGTTAACTTTTCAAATTCTGTTTAATTATTATTGCGTAAACCATCTTAACATTATTCAATTCCATTAATCTCTAAAATTATCACATAATTTCTGAACTTCAATAAACTATTACACCAGCTCTGCCTGTTACTCCTCGTGAAGGAGCATAGGCCGCTCACCAGCATTCTCCATCCAACCCTGTCCTGGGAAATCCTTTCCAACTCTTTCCAGTTGTTATTCATCATTTCCACATCTGATTTTGTTACCCGACTTAATGTGTTCTTCGAACTTCCTCATTTCCTCTTCCCTTCAGATTCCAAGTTAGGGATTGTCTCATGATGCAGTTTGATGATTTTTGCACTGTATGTCCTATCCACTTCCATCGTCTTTTCCTAATTTCTTCTTCAGCTGGAAGTTGGTTTGTTCTCTCCCACAGAAGGCTATTGCTGATGGTATCCGGCCAATGGATGTTGAGTATCTTGCGAAGACAGCTATTTATAAATACTTGTACCTTCTTGATGGTGGTTGTTGTGGTTCTCCAAGTTTCAGCTCCATACAGTAGAACTGCCTTGACGTTGGTATTGAAGATTCTCACTTTGATATTGGTTGAAAGTTGTTATGAGTTCCATATGTACTCTAATTGTAGGAATGCTGTCCTTGCTTTGCCAATCCTTGCCTTTATTTCTGCATCTGAACCTCATTGTTCATCGATGATGCTTCCCAGGTATGTGAAGGACTCTACATTTTCCAGAGTTTCGCCATCAAGAGTGATTGGATTGTTGTTTTCCGCTTTGAATTTGAGGACTTTGGTTTTCCCTTTGTGTATGCTGAGGCCTACTGATGCAGAGACTGCTGCTACACTAGCCGTCTTTATCTGCATCTGTTAGTGTGTATGCGATAGGAGGGCTAGGTCATCTGCGAAGTCCAAATTGTCTAATTGATTCT